GGAGAAATTTCAGATGGACTCTGTACTTCTCTATCTTTTCCCTAAAGATCCTGGGAAGCAGAGGGGAACCAATGCAGACCCCTCTGGGAGCAAGTGGAGCTTATCAAATGCAAATTTTCATTTCTGACATCACAAGCTTGAAATCTGGGTGTTTATGTTGTTGCTCAGTTGCTCAGTTGTATCCAACTCCTTGCGACCCCATGGACCGCAGCACACCAGGCTTCTCTGTCCTTCACCATCTCCTGGAGCTTGCTCAAACTCATGTCCATTGAGTCCGTGATACTATCCAACCATCTCGTCCTCTGTCGTCCCCTTCTCCTCCTGCCTTCCATCTTTCCCAGCATCAGGGGATTTTCGACACACTTTTCTAGGTGTGTATGGAAGCTAATAAAGATGAGAGGCGCGGAGGAGGAGCTGAAAGGCTGTATTTGGACGTGGGATTAGAAGGGGAGTGTGGCTAGCTGCAGCTGTCATCATCACTAGCATCATTTTATTATCACCATCCCTTAAATTTACATCACTGTTGAGTTTACAAAGAGCTTTTCTATTCTTGACTTTCACATCTCTGCCGTGGCATGGTGGGGATTGCCCTCCTTTGACTGAACTGCCCAAGAACAGGCGGGATGGAGGGCAGAGTCCAGGCCCTAAGCCTCTTCTCCAGCCCCTCCTCAGGAGCCCACAGGGTCCTTTAATTGGAGGTCCTTTAATTGGAGAAGTGGAATAGGGAAAAGAGCAACGCAGGGATACGCGCCCCGCGGAGAAGGACAAACAGCGAGAGATCTGCAGCTGGACAGAGGCTAAAGCCCTTGCTTTAGAGGTGAAGGGGTTGGAGAGGTGTGCAGTCGCTGAAAACTCCTTCTGGGGTACGTGCCCCAGCCACCTGGAAGGTGCACCGACGCTTACGGAGCGGGCACCCCCCCGCGCTTGCCGCGGAGGTAGAGGGAGCCTTCGCGGAGACGCGGGGCTGGGAGAGTCAAACCTTCCGGGGCGCCCCACGAAGGGTGGGAGCGAGGTGGTGCCGCCCCTCCGGGACGCGCGTCGGTGCCCTCTGTCACCGCACGCCGCCCCGCCCGGGGCCCAGGCAATAGCGGGCCCGCCCAGGTGCGCCGGGGGTTGGGCCGGAGTCCGGAAGGTGCGCCGCCCCGCCCCGGGCCGGTTCCCTCGGCCTCCCCCCGCGGGAAAGTGAAAGTGTCGCGCCGGCGGAGGTCGCGCGTTGGGGGGCGGGGCCGCCACGGACCTGGGAGCGGGCGCCCGGCACCCGAGGGGCCATGGATGGGCTCGGCCGCCGCCTCCGAGCCAGCCTGAGGCTGAAGCGCGGCCGCTGGGGTTAGTGCTGGCCGGGGCGCGTCCGGGCGAGGGCGCGGGGACGGCCGGGGGACCGCGGACCAGGACGGGAGGCGACGGGGGCGGGGGGCCAGGGCAGGGGTTGCAGAGCGTCGCGATCGATCGGGGAGCAGTCTAGGCGGCATTCCAGGGGCTTGGACAGGGGTCAGGCGAGCTAGAGAGAAAGGACGCAGGTAGAGGTGGAAACGGGCGGATGGGGAAGGAAGGGGTAGGAGGTCAGAGGAGAAGGCACGCCAGCGGGGGTGAAGCGGAGGCTGTCAGCCAAAGGAAACCGCTGTGGGGCCCCGGGGCCACGTGTCCTTCCAGCCAGGAAGATGGTGGGGTAACCGCAGGGTGCCTGCAGCGCCCTCACGGAAGACCCTGCCTCTGCTCCCGGCCGCCCACCGCCCCGCCCCGTCCCTCCCCACCCCTGGACTCCCCTCGTGGGAGCCCGCGATTCTGCCCCGCGCAGAGCCGCCGGCTACAAAACCGCTCTTACCGGCTACGTCACCCCCGGCCTCCCCCCCGCCCCAACCCGCACCCCAGGGCGACGAGGAGACCTGGAGAGTGTGGCCTGGAGCAGAGCCGGGGTAGAGCCTGCCCAGCTGCTTCCATAGAGCCTGGGAACCTGACAAGTCAAGCCTCCCTTATCCCTGATCCCCCATTAGAGAAGAGAGAAGGATTCCTCCCGTCCAGGGTTGTAGGGATTAAATTAGAAGTCAATATTCGTTTCCTTTCTTCTCAGCTGGAGCTCTGGGTTTTGGAAGGAAGGGAATTCAGAATTCATTTTCTTTTTTTATTCATTCAGTCCTATGGCTCAGCAGCCACAACTCTTACTCTGTCCAGAGGTCCCAACTTTTGAGAAGCAGGGAACCAATGGAAAAATAGGGATCATTCCCAAACAGCCCACCCCTTATAACATTTGCAGTGAAAAGAGTGAGTGAGACCTCCTTCTATTCCAAGCCCCAAAGCTGGGGAGACCTGGAGGGGGACACCAGCGCTCCTTCTTCCATTACCCCTGCCCCAACCCCCAGCCCTGGCTGTTCTCCCTGAACGCAGGTTTCCATTATCTGGTCATTCTACCTGTGCTGAGGCAGAGAGGTCAGAGACCACAGGTGGAGACAGAGCTCTGGGTGTGAGTGGTGGCCGGAGCAGAGGAAGGGTGGGGCTGGCGGCCTCTCTTCCCTGCTAAATGCTGTCTTGGTGTCTCCTTGGTCTGGCTCAATCCTCAGAAGCCTGTGTGAATGGAAGGGCTGAGAGAGACCTGTGTGAATGGCTGCTTCTGCAACCCAGAGGAAACATTCCAGTTGTTTCCAGAACAAGGCTGATAATTGTGGCTGGAGGAGCTTCCTGGACAGTGAGGAACTGTAAGATGCACAGCCAGTATTACCTGTCCTGAGGTCTGGCATGCAGCCTGCAGGAGAGTGCGCTCTTTTCATCTTCTGTACTGTTCTCCACCTTCCCTGGAGTTTCCCCTCCCTCTTTTGCCCTTTGGGTTCCAAGGCAACTGTGTGGTAGGAGGATGTGCGTGCGTGCGTGTGTGTGTGTGTGTGCATGCACAGGTGCAAGTATAAATCATCCTCTGGGGAGCAGTGGCAGTGGTCCTGGGCTGAGAGTGGCTGAGCTAGAAGAGGAAGCTTTCAAGACTGAGGGCCCAGAAAGTCTCCTCACCTATATTCCAGCTGGTTCTGGGACTTTTCCTCAGAGGGCTATGGGAGGGGCTTCCTGGTGGAGGAACAAGTGTAACCAGACTTCTGACTTCTCTAGAAAGGGTGGCTCCCTCTTCTACTTAAAATTTAAGATAATGTTTCCTTTTCAGGGCACTGGGGATTAAAGGAGATTGTTGTTGTTTAGTGAGAAGCCCTTAGATGAGATGACCCATTATAAACCTGTGTTTGATGGACCTTTTCTCTTCTGTTGTTAACTCCCTTTGAGAGGGAGAAGGAAGCAATCTTTTTTCCTCTGGATTTCTTGGTCTGCAGCCCACAAAGGTCAGTCTTCTGCTTGAGTTTGTGAGTTTTGCTGTTCTCTTGGCTTTTCCGATAAAGCAGGAAGAAATGGGCTGAAAATGCAACCCAAACAATTTAGGGAAAGAAATCATTTCCTTAGGTTCCAGAATGATCAGTGAAAAGATTTTGCTTCCCAAGGCCTTTTGCAAAACAGGAGGCATCCCACATCTGTGAGATGTTTAGTGTGTACTGCATCCAGAAGGTAGGAACATGAACATGAAACTCTCTAAGTCCCACCCCCAAGAGATTCTGTTGTATTCCCTAAGTAGTCCCTGAATTAACTCTGTGCCTCAGTTTCCCCATCTGATCAGGAGATGCCTGTTCTTCAGATTGGTGGTGAGTATCTTGCAACCTGTCCGTGCAGATTGCAAGTAATGTGTGGTGACGATCTGAGTGTTCCGGGTCACTGTTCTCACCATTGCAGTGACTGTAACATTCTTATTTACTGTGACTGTCGTTCTCCCCAGGAGTCATGGCTGGGCCACTGAACAATGGATTTTACTAGTCCACAGAAGTCAGGTCTGGCGCTATTAAGAGCAAGCAGCTGTCTCCCTTATTTCAGCACCCCACTTTTCTCCCAGAAGGCTGTTGATTCTTTGCAGGAGTGGCAGACACTGGCATCAAACCCTTTTACTGCCAGGCTTCTCTTAGGGACAGCATCTTGGCAAAAGTCCTTCTCTCTTACCATGTACATTTACACACTCAAGAGTTTATGTGAGAATCCCAGGTGATGGATTGCTATTCTGTCTCTCTTCCCCAGCCTCCAGACACAGCATCACTGGAGCCCCAGGGGCCAGCTGTTCTGCTTTCAGCTTGTGTAGAACTGTTGACCTGGACCATCTGGGAAAAAAGACTGAGCAGGAGTAGGGGTGGAGTGGACAGCACCCAGATGCTTTCCATTCCACCGAGTTCCCCTCAGGCTGCTGATGCAACCAGTCCCCTCCTGTAGGCCAGGGAGAATGTCCTAAGTCAGTGCTTTCTATCTGGGGGAGGGGTTCTCTGCTGGATCCCTGGCACAGGTCCCAGTGAGACAAGTCTGCCTTAGGACATATGGCAGGGGGTGAGAGATGCACCATGGAAGATCCTGCTGCGATATCAGGAACTCTCCAGCCCAGAGATGGACTTTGTTCTCTATTTCCCCACCAGGAGAGGAGACTTTTAGGTTTGTGCTGATATCCAGGAATTGCTCTTGCTTGAACAATTTCTCCACCTAGATAATGAATGAGGTGAAGTCTATTGATGTTAATTAGGGGAGGCCGTGGCAACCTTGCTTCGAGGAGTCTTTGGTCCGTGCTCTTCTTGCAGTCTTGAAGTCCTAGACATCCCAGAGTGCAGCAGGGGGCAGTGCAGAGGTTAAGAAGTGAACAATCAGGGATCAGTTATGGAGATTTATGACCCTGGTCCTGGGGCTGGTGAGGTCCAGTGCTCACAGTCTGATGTTATCAGGCATTCTTCCTTGTCCGGAGGTTGTACATGAATCCATTGCACAACCTTCAGCCCGGAATTAAAAGCCCTTAGCCCAGTAGCAGCTGGGCTCTGGGGGTGTTTGCCTATGACCTTTTCTCTCACCACACCCTGGGGCTCTTGGGAGGAGCTGAGGTCTGAGCTGCAGTGCCAGGATGCTGCCTCTGTCACTGCAGGCGTTCTGCTGCCTTCCTGGGTCCCGCCGCAGTCTTCTTGCTCAACCGTTGGGTGCACAGGATGGAAACAGCGCTCGCCTATTTGGAAGACAGTGCGTGGCTTGGCCGCATAGAGTCGTTGCTGGAGACTGAGCCGGCAGGTGGTTTCTCAGGCTTTCTCTAGCTGGTCTGTATTGGAGGAAGGAGGGCACTCCATGCCTGACAGGCCCAAGAAGATGGAAAGACAAGCGGGAGGCGGGATCCTCAGTCGCTTCCGCAAACGATTGCCTCTACACCGAGCAGGTCTGGACTAGATTACCCACTTCCTCTTTTTCCAGGACGGCCCTCTTCGTTGGGGTTGTTTCTTCCCTTGAAATACTTCTTTTTCTTCTTCCTTTTATATTTCATCCTCCATGCGGTTCTCCCATGTGACTGAGCCGGGAGGTTTCCCCTGTTGGTTTTTAGAGCCGGTCATGCCCTCTGTGGGGGTTGGTGTGGTCACAGCCACGTGGCCCTTGGTCTGTTCTGATTTCTTGAGTCCAGGTTGACTTGGGGAGTGTATTGCTTCAGGCAGGCAGAATCTCTACTACCTGGGGGCCTCCCAGGCGGCCTCCCTGGTACATTTTCTTGGCTTCTGAATCAGTGGTTTCTTTCCTTCTCTTGACTCCTGGTGGTTCCAAATGTTGCAGTTGCACAGAAACTGCCCAGTTGGCTCTGAGCCTGTGCTGGGATGTGGGGCACTGGGCCAGCTCCCGGGGCCTCGGCGTGGGCCTGGCCGCCTGGAGATGCGGAAGTTGCCAGAACCCCATAGCCTCCACTGGGAACCCGGATCAGTGAAATACGCATGGGCCCTGCTGTCTTGATTTCAGGACCTCCCCAGGACAATCTGGGAGAAGTGGTGAAGGAACCAGAAAGAGCCTTGGAGCACTATCTACCCAACTTTGCTGGAGGCCAGCACTTCTTTGAATACCTCCTCGTGGTTTCTCTCAAAAAAAAGCACTCAGGGGAAGATTATGAGCCCACAATCATCTACCAGTTTCCCAAGGTAAGGATTGAAGGAAGGGGCAACGGGGGCCGAGGGTTCAGCTGTTTGAGGGGCAATGGGGAGGGGTGTGCCCTCTCCTTCCCCCAGCCACCCTGCCCGGGCTCCACTGGAGCTGCCCTGAACTCACTGCTCCCATTTCCTTCAGACCCAGCCCTGTTTTCGTTATCATCCACAGAATCTAGGTCTGGCCTCTTTGTGGGAAACAGACCTAGGTTCCCTAGCCAGGAAACTAGATTAGTTCTCCTGCCTTTGGGGGGGCCTTCTAAGACTCCCCTGGTGGTTCAGACGGTAAAGCGTCTGACTACAATGTGGGAGACCCGGATTCAATCCCTGGGTTGGGAAGATCTCCTGGAGAAGGAAATGGCAATCCACTCCAGTATTCTTGCCTGGAAAATCCCATGGACGGAAGAACCTGGTAGGCTACAGTTCCATGGGGTCGCAAAGAGTCAGACAGGACTGAGTGACTTCCCAATTCCATCCTCAGCCACCCTGTTGAGAAGCTTACCTTCTGCCAGAGGTCCTTGCAGGAATCCCCTCCCTGGGGTGGGTGGGAGGGGAAGGGAAGGGCAGGCACACAGCTGATGGCCTCAGCCCAAGCATCAGGCTCCTTCTTGTCTGGTCCTGCTGTGGGTGAAGGGGTGGGGTCAAGGCACCCTTCTCATTAACCCTGACGGTGAGGCAACTGAGCTGGCCGCTTCTCTTCTCAGATGTGGTATCTCTTTGATGTGGTCCTTCCAGGAAGCTGGGTGGTCTCTGGGCCTTTCTGTATTCAGTGTGGTCCTGGCCCCCTTCCTGACCATGAACACCATTAGGGATACTGAAGTCCAACTCAGGTTCATGTAGACTTGGCCCAGGAGTGGCTGTTTCAGCCGTGGGATTGTTCCAGCCTGACCCAGAATGCAGTCTGCATGTAGTGATGGGCACAGAGGCAAGCTTTAAGTTGCACACCAGTGGAAAAGCTTATTCTGACTGCTTACTGCTGCTGCTGCTAAGTCACTTCAGTCGTGTCCAACTCTGTGCGACCACATAGATGGCAGCCCACCAGGCTCCCCCGTCCCTGGGATTCTCCAGGCAAGAACACTGGAGTGGGTTGCCATTTCCTTCTCCAATGCATGAAAGTGAAAACTGAAAGTGAAGTCGCTCAGTCATGTCCGACTCTTAGCGACCCCATGGACTGCAGCCTAACAGGCTCCTCTGTCCATGGGATTCTCCAGGCAAGAGTACTGGAGTAGGGTGCCATTGCCTTCTCAGGCTCCTTAGGAGCCTCCAAAGAAGCTCGCCAGACCCTAAGCCCTCTCCACCTGCTCCTACCTCCACACCCACCTGTCTCTTTTCCTATTCCTCATAGCGAGAGAACTTGCTTCGGGGTCAACAAGAGGAGGAGGAGCGGCTGCTTGGAGCCATCCCCTTGTTCTGCTTCCCAGATGGGAATGAGCGGGCCCCACTCACTGAGTGTCCCAGGTAAGGGCTTGGCTCTGGGCAGGGGCCTGAGATTGGAGGAGAAGGGGACAGTGTGAACCACGTGATTCCTGTGCCCCCTTCATCTGGATTTCTCACCAGCTTCCTTCCTGTTGGGGAGGGATTGGAGTTGATTTGTTTTTGAATATCTTGCCTGGGGTCTCTCGAGGCAAGAGATGTTAACTAAACAGGTTAACCAGTCCCTTCTGTCCAGTAGAAGGGTGAGGTTCTCCTTCCTCTCCTAGAAGTGATTGTCACTGTGTTTTGACTGCCTCTGGCAAAAGATGGACACCAAAGAAGTCCTTTGGTCATGAATGAGATCCTTACATGGCAAAGCCCTTTACACCATAAGTCCTGGAATGTGACTGCCTGAGCTCAAATTTTGGCTTTACCACTATGAGTTGAGTGACCTTGGATAAGAAATACTCCCTCAGAGTCTCAGTTTCTTCATCTTTAAAGTCGGGTTAGTAATTGAACGTTCCTCAAAGAGTCATTTTGAGAATTAAATGAGATGATGCATTTAGAGCTTGACACCAGTAAGCACTTTACATAAACTGACCGCTGTTATGATTACTCTCAGGATCACTTAGCAGCTCCCGTGGCCCTCCTCTCCCCGCTCATCCCCCTGATGCCGACCACCTTCCTGCTTTAGAACCCAGTGCAAACCAGGCCCTTGTTTGCTCTTCCTCAGGGAGACCTTCTCGTTCGTTCTGACCAATGTGGACGGGAGCAGGAAGATTGGATACTGCAGGCGCCTCTTGGTCTGTGCAGCTCAGAACGCCCCCTCCTCTCTGCATCCTATTCTGCCCCACAGCTGGGTTTGCTCCATCCTCAGCTGCAAAAGCCAAGGCTCCTTGGCAGAGGCAGTTGCAAAGAGAGAGCACAGCCCAGCACCTGCTGCCTTGCCAGTGCCCTGTGCAACCTCACAAGAACGGAGACACACAGCCCTCCTCACCCACCCAGGGCACCTTTGTTACTCGGGTTGCGTCTTTACTCTTCCCAGCCTTCAACCATTCCCTTCTGTGGGAGGCTTCATTCTAGTCTGCTTTCCACTATCTCTATCTAGGCCTTGTTGCCTTGGCCCCTGGGCCCTCCCAGAGCCTAGCTTGGGATTGGGACCATGAGGTTCAATCCTTGGGTCTCCCCAAGTACGTTTATGGCACACCCTCCCTAGCTGTTTCTTGTCTCTACAACACACTTGCTGCCTCCTTGTCAACCTCTGAGGGTGTGGGTGCTAACAGAGGCAGTGCTTGCCCGTGAGCCAGCCAGCCCCCTCAAGGCCATGGTCTTTTGGTTTCTGTGTCTGCTCTGGCCTTCCCAGCTGCCTGTCCCAGGAGTGGGATCCCCCAGCCCCAGCCCCCAGCCCGTGTCCCATCAGCCACAGTTGGGCAGAGGCCCTGGAGAGGCCGCAGCACTGAAGGAGCCTGTCTGTCCTTCCGCAGCCCGCCGGCCGTGGTCCTCGCCTCCCCAGGGTGTACTGCATCATCAGCTGCATTGGTTGCTTCGGCTTGTTCTCCAAGGTAAGGGTGGACCAGGATTCCGCCAGTCCTGTCGGGCCTGTTTGGCCTCCAGCTCTGCCCTGGCTGCCTGCCCTGCCTGGACTCCAGGCGCTCCTCCCCCACAGTTGGGGTCAGGTGAGGCACTCTGGAGACACTCAGGCAGAGAGGGGCTTGGGCTTCACCTGGCTTTAGAGAAAAGTCGGAACTGAACCTAGTAGACTGTCTCCCCTGCAGAGTTCAGTGCCCCCGAGTCTAGGCAAGATAAGAAAGCAGCTGAAGTAGGACATGAGAAGAGCTTCAGGTTAGAAATTGGGAGTTGGAGATTCGTCATCTGTCAAATGCATGTAATGATGCCTCATCTTCCTGTCTCATGTGTTGATGTGAGGTGCAGGTAACATGATATATGGAGAAGACAGAATGCTAAACAAATATAAAGACAAATATACAGTGGGGCTTGGGGGACTCCCTCTGATTCCTTCCAGGATAGAGGGGAAGTTGAGGTCTTGTGCCAGTACACCTGACCCAGGGTTAGAAAGGAGTCCTTTAGGATGGATGGGGCATGTCTTTTTCTTCTTCTTTGTTATTGTTTTAGTCGCTAAGTTGTGTCCAACTCTCTTGTAACCCCATGGACTATAGCCCACCAGGCTCCTCTGTCCATGGGATTTTCCAGAAAAGAATACTGAGAGCGTTGTCATTCCTTCTTCAGGGGATCTTCCCGACCCAGAGATCGAACTCGCATCTTCTGCATTGGCAGATGGATTCTTTACAACTGAGCAACCAGGGAAGCCCACGGGGCATGTGTTTGTGGCCAGGAAAGGGCATCAGTGTGCTCTGCCCCAGACAGACCTCTTGGGGGATGAAGGCAATAAACTCCATCAGGCTTTGCTTGGGCAGATGGTTCATCTGTGTAGGGCTCTGCAGATGGAGGCTGTTCCTGACCCTGGGGAGTCTCCAGTAGAAGTTGGAGGTCAGAGTGGCACCCAAAAGGCCCAGCTTCTATGCCCCAGCTAGCACAAATGAACATGGTACCATCATGAATGAGGAGTTTACTCCAGGATGACTTCCTGGGGAAGGTAGTTCAGGTTGATGTTAGAAGGGAGGAATATGAATTGGTAGAGGGAGGATGAAAAGAAGAAGGCTAAGAAAAACATCAGGTCTTGTGCAGGAGATAAACAGCAGACTGGTTTCTGCCAAGAGGAAAGAACCCAGTTGAGGATTGGCTAGAGCAACCTTACACATGCAATCTTGGCTGGCAGCCCGGGAGCATTCCTCGAGTCATGTCTCCTGTGGTTCTTTTCCATACAGATCCTGGATGAAGTGGAAAAGAGACATCAGATCTCCATGGCCATCATCTACCCATTCATGCAGGGCCTCCGAGAGGCAACCTTCCCCGCTCCTGGGAAGACTGTCACCCTCAAGAGCTTCATCCCTGACTCAGGCACTGAGGTGGGTGAGCAAAACAGGGGAGACCCTCCCTGGGTGGAGGGGGTGGGTTCCAGCAGCACCTTCCATCACAGTGTGCCCATTTACCAGCTTAACATTCCAAGAAACTGAGCTAGGCAGGGCCTGGCACTTGGCTAAAATTATTGGCAGAACTTAAAGTCAAACCCCAGTTCTCTGATTTCCTCAAGCTGATGCTCACAAAGACCTAGTTACTGTTCAAGTAACCAAGATTTTTTTTTTTTAATAATAAACTATGTAAGTGGAAGCTCCCAGTACTAGAATGGCCCTTGCCTCCAGTTCCCAAACTGCTGCTCTTCACCATTACCTCCCTTATCTCCCTGTGTCTGTCTTTTATCTCTACCTATGGCTTCCACCTGTCTTTTTTTATCACCCATCCCCACCCCTGAGTCCCCACCCATTCGATACTGGGGATGCTATTGCTTTAAGACACTAAACAGACAAAGCAGCAAATAGAAAATTGTTTTAAGAATCCCAGTCTTGAGCCCTGGTATTCTGGATATTCTGTGTGTCCGTCTGAACTCTGGCTTTCTCATATCAGAATAAGGGGAGGGATTAGGTGTCTTCACTTACTCAAAAAATAAGTGTGGAAGGCTTGCTATGCTCCAAGTTGTACTGTTTTCCGGCTCGTTGTTGTTGTTCAGTCACTAAGTCATGTGCAACTCTTTGTAAGCCCATGGATTGCAGCACGCCAGACTTCCCTGTCCTTCAGTATCTCCCTGAGTTTGCTCAAAGTCACATCCATTGGGTTGATGATGCCATCCAACCATCTCATCCTCTGTCACCCACTTCTCCTCCTGCCCTCAATCTTTCCCAGCATCAGGTTCTTTTCCAGTGAGTTAGCTCTTCCCATCAGGTGGCCAGAGTGTTGGAGTTTCAGCTTCAGCATCAGTCCTTCCAATGGATATTCAGGACTGATTTCCTTTAGGATTGACTGGTTTGGTCTCCTTGCTGTCCAGGGGACTCTCAAGAGTCTTCTCTAACACCACAGTTCGAAAGCATCAATTGTTTGGTGCTCAGCCTTCTTTATGGTCTAACTCTCACATCCATACATGAATACTAGCTTTGACTATACAGACCTTTGTCAGCAAAGTGATGTCTCTGCTTTTTAATACAGTCTTGGTTTGTCATAGCTTTCCTTCCAAGGGATAAGCGTCTTTTAATTTTATGGATGCTGTCACTGTCCACAGTGATTTTGAAGCCCAAGAAAATAAAGTCTGTCACTGTTTCCTTTTTTTTTGCCCCCTCTATGTGCCATGAAATGATGGGACCAGATGCCATGATCTCAGTTTTTCAAAAACTGTTGAGTTTTGAGGTAGCTGATTCTGGCTACAAAATGGTAAATAAAACAAATGTGGTCCCTGACCTCATGGAGCTAAAAGTCTAGTGGGGGAGACAGACTTAAATAAATAAACACACAAATAAATCGAATGGTAAATAAAACAAATGTGGTCCCTGACCTCATGGAGCTAAAAGTCTAGTAGGGGAGACAGACTTAAATAAATAAACACACAAATAAATAGATCATTGAAAATTATATTGATGGAAGGAAAAGAAAACAGGATGCTACACGAGAAAATGATGAAAAACGTGTGTTGCATTATGTGGCCAAGGAAGGCGTCTAAGATATAAAGGAGGATAAGAATGAAGAGAGAAAATACTGTAAGTCAACTACATTTCAATGAAAAGCTAGTTAACTAATTAAAAAAAAAAGAATGAGGGACTTCCCTGGTGGTCAGTGGCTAAAACTCCATGCTGCCAATGCAGGGGGCCCAGGTTCATTCCCTGGTCCAGGAACTGGTTTCCACATGCTGCAACTTAAACTCAGTGCAGCCAAATAAATAAATAAAACAAAATAAGTAATTTTTAAAATGAAAGGCAACCTAGGGGAGGGAAGTATCTCAGGCAGGAAAGAAGGAAGGCATGCTGAAGGAACAGAAGGGAGTTGATGTGGGGAAGCAAGGTGGTGGAGGAGGTGAGGGAGGCAGGGTGTTGTGAGCCACACAGAGGTTTACAGCAGCATTACCCTCAGAGCAGAGGGGAACCATGGATGGTTTTTTAGTAGCTGGGAGGTAGGATCAGATATACTCTTTTGGGGAGGATAGGGCAGAGGTAGGTAGAGACCCAGCTTTCTGGGGCTTGTGTGATTTTTCAGTGTGGTAACAGCCTCTCTCTTTGGTTTCCCGACAGTTCATTTCCCTGACGCGTCCCTTGGATTCCCACTTAGAGCACGTGGATTTTAGGTCTCTCATGCGTTGCCTCAGTTTTGAGCAGATCCTTCAGATCTTTGCCTCTGCAGTGCTGGAAAGAAGAATCATCTTCTTGGCAGAAGGTCTCAGGTTAGTCCAGTTACTGAGCAGGTCCCCTGAACTGGCTGGCATCCCTGGGTTCCAGGGGGCAGACGGGATGGTTCTCCAAGGAACCCAGGCTCTAGGACCTGTGTGCTCACCTTTCCTCCACACTGTCTTGATCTGCACTGAAGCCTAGAAAATAGCTGCTGTAATAGCTGTTGTAATTCCCTGTTCCTGTCTCCAAACACTGCCTAAGCCTGAAGGAGGTTTGTGATTTAGCTCTGAGAAGGGCATGAAGCATTCTTGTACAGCCTAGGAGAAAACCAGTTAGGGTGGATGCAGAGAGGATTCTGCTCCTGAAAGGCTGAGGGAAGACAGGGCAGGAGGGTGTATGCATAATGGTATGGAGGTCAAACCCTTTATCCTAGTGGCAAACACACCTCATTTGTCCATTTATTTACTCATTCAACAAATACTTAATGTGTGTCAACTGTTAACCAGATGCCCAGCATCAGGGAGATACAGACAAACAAAAATGGTCCTAGACCTAAAGGGGATATAGACTTACTCCTGATTGAAAGGAAGCTTAGGTGTTGAAATCAGCAGAACAATTCAAGTTCTTTTCTTCTACCTTTAGCAACATGGTGTTCCTTAGGTTAGTTTCTTAACTTCTTTTATTTTTTTATTTTTTGGATGCATGGGCATGTGGTATCTTTAGTTCCCCGACCAGGGATTGGACCTGTACCCTTTGCATTGGAAGTGCAGAGTCTTAACCACTGACTCACCAGGGAAGTCCCTAGTTTCTTAACTTTTTGAAGTCATGATCTCCTTACCTGTAATTGGACAGATTGACTGTACCTACCTCATAAGGGCGTAGTAAGGATTAAATGAAGTAATGCACTTTAGGTACCTAGCGCCCTGCCAGGCCCACACTGGTACATGCCAGTTGTTTTTCTTAATAATAATTTCATAGTTGAGTATATCCCTGTATAGTGTATAGTTGAAGCAGAATACTATCATATCTTGGCCTCTGCCTCTTTGAGGCTTCAAGTCTGGTTAAGACATGGGGAGATACGTGACAGGTGGAGACAGGAGAAAAATTTTAAGACAGTAGAAGGTTGACTCATTTATGTCTGGGAATGGAGAAAGCTGCTTATGTTGAGCTGACAATCCTGGTTTTATCTTTTAGGAAGGAAGAAGGAAAGCACTTTAGGGACCCAAATTTTAGACCAGAGGGTCAGGTGAATGTCATGGGTTTTACAGGAAAGGAAGTTTGGGCAGGCAGTGGGATCTGTGTAAAAACCTGTGATAACCAAAAAGGCACCGTGTGTGCATGCAAAGTTGCTTCAGTCATGTCCAACTCTTTGCAACCCTATGGACTGTAACCTGTCAGGCTCATCTGTCTGTGGGCTTCTCCAGGCAAGAATACTGGAGTGGGTTGGCAGGCCCTCCTCTGGGGGACCTTCACAACCCAGGGATAGAACCCGCATCTCTTGTCTCCTTCATTGGCAGGTGGGTTCTTCACCACTAGTGCCCCCTGGGAAGCCCCAGAAGGCACCAGTTGTGGGCTAATCCTTGTGGGAAGTGGTGTAAATCTCTTGCTTTAGACATAGCTCTTCCACTCTTGGCCCTGTAGGGCAGGGATCACCAACCCCCAGGCACTGGTCCATGGCCTGGTAGGAACTGGGCCACACAACAGGAGGTGAGCAGCCGAATAAAGCTTCATCTGTACTTACAGCCTCTCCCCATCAACTCCCATTACCACCTGAGCTCTGCCTCCTGTCAGAGTAGTGGCGGCATTAGATTCTCATAGGAGCACAAACCCTACTGTGAACTGTGCATGCAAGGGATCTAGGTTGCATGCTCCTCGTGAGAATTTAATGCCTGATGATCTGAGGTAGAACTGAGGTGGTGATGCTAATGCTGGGGACCTGCTGCAAATACAGATTATCATTAGCACAATAAATGTAATGTGCTTGAATCATCTTGAAACCATCCCACCCCTCCCCCACAACCCCAGCCCTCGGTCCGTGGAAAAAATGTCTTCCATGAAACTGGTTACTGGTACCAAAAAGTTTGGGGACTGCTGCTGTAGGGAATTGAGAAGTTTCTGTTGTGGCTAGAGCTGGGATTCTGGCTTTTGCCCCTTAGGATCAATGTTTAGAAAGTGAAGGGGACTCCAGGTGTCAGCTGGCCTGGAGACGGGCAGAGGTTGGCAGGACTCACCTCTCAGGCGTTAACTTTCTTCAGGGAAACCCCACCACTCCCCACTTCCTTCCTACACTGAGTATTTCAGATCTCTGCTGCTCAGCCAGGAAAGGGACTTCCAGTCAGCCTAAGCCTTGGCTAGACTCTCGGAGACTCCATCTTTCTAACTCAGGAAGTGCTAGCTTGATACCAAGAATTGAAACAAGGTTTCCGCATCTGTGTTTTTGTTGGCCTTGGCTTTGGGGCAGTTTGGAGAAATGAAGAGCCACTAAAGCTAGTGGAGAATAGAGAAGACAGGGAGGGTGTGTGTGTTGGAAGGGTAAAGGGGAGGGGGGCATGAGGGGACTTGGGTCTGAGTTGTGACCTAGGCAATAATTATACAGGGAATGCTTCCTTGGAAAGGGTGGAGGAGTCCTCTCAGGGGGACTTTCCGGGTGGGAATTGCTGGTCAGAGGTTCCTGGAATCCAGGAATTTCCCAAGCAAGCTCAGGCACCAACCTGATAAGTTTAAATAACCATGAGTGGTCAGAGGGAGCCATGAGAGTTAAAGCCTGGGGATGACAGATAAGGAGGAAATAGACTTGACCTCTCTGCTACACCCCAGTGTTTACATGTTTGTCTCCTTAACTACACTGAGTGCCTTAAAAGCAGGGCCAGTCTTTTGCTTCCTGGTACCCACATCCGTAACACAGTGATGAACATAGAGAAGGGGCTCCATCAATGATCAATGACCTCATAGAAGGAAGACATTTCTTCTTCCTCTTCCTCTCTTTAAAGACACTCCCTCCACCCCCACCCCCACCCCCAGTGGAAAAGAAGAATCACATAGAGGCCCCATACTTGACGAGGGGAACCTCAGCCTCTTCTGGTTTCCACCCCTCCCCTCAGCATCGGGTAGCTGAGACCGCCATGGCTCCCAGACTCGCTGCGGCTCCGGCACAGCGAGCAGGAGCAGCTGCTGCCTTGGCGGGCGGTGGGGAGGCGGCGCGGGCTGGGGGCCTGGCCGGCGGCTCTGACTCTCCTTCTCTGTGCCCTGTCCTCAGCACCCTGTCTCAGTGCATCCACGCTACTGCCGCGCTGCTCTACCCCTTCAGCTGGGCCCACACCTACATCCCCGTGGTCCCCGAGAGCCTGCTGGGAACTGTCTGCTGCCCTACTCCCTTCATGGTTGGAGTCCAAATGCGCTTCCGGCAGGAGGTTTTGGACAGCCCCATGGAAGAGGTACGATGCAGCAAGAAGGGGGCATGATTTGGAGCCAGGCAGACCTGGATCCGGATCCCACCTCTGCTGCTAATAGCTGTGTGATTTTGTGGCAAGTTGCTTAACCTCTTTAAGCCTCAGCTTCCTCATCTATAAAACTGGAGGGGCAATGTTTAGACCCTAAGGATCCTAGGGGGAAAAATCAGCATAAAGCACCTAGCCTGGTGCCTGACGTATAGCTGATACTCAGTAAGTGCTCCCTTCTCTGAATGATTTCCCTTTGAACTTAAGGGGCAACACATGGCTTATTTGGGCTTCACCCAACTGTACTAGACCAGCTAGTCCTAATGAGCAGGCCCTGGGTGTCCCATTTTTCTTCTGAATGGACAAGCACAGCTGGTCTGTACAACACACACCCCACTGGAATTTATTCGCATTGCTTGGAAGTGAACGAACACTCTTCCTGGAAACAATGAGTCTTGAAAATGCAGATATTTTTTGGTAGTAGGGGTCATCCTTCCAATTAGCTCAGAGCTCAGTTGGTTAATGAGGATATAGGTCCAAATCCCCTTTGATTTTGTCGGCCTCCTGTGTCTTGGCAGTGCCCCCAGATACACCAAAGAACTCAGTGGTGAGAATGGGTGTTAATAACATAAACCTACCTCCAGTGTTGGAAGAACAACTTCTGCTTTGCTTGAGTTGTCAATAGAGACTTTCAAGAGATAGCACATTACTATAATCTCAAGCCAAAAGAGCTACTGAGGTTGGTCTGGTTAACCATCGACTCCCTCTGTGTAGACAGAAAGGGAAGAGGCAGAGCCTTGAAGTAAGCTACTGGAGGCATGCGACCAGCCCTAGTGGGAAGACTTCCTCCATTTACGTAAGAAATAACCAAGGTCCAGAGAGCTCAATTTACTTATTGAGACTGCACAGGCAATCCCGGAATCTAGCAGAGATAGAAGCAAAGCACCTCTTCCGCAGAGTGCTGCTGGGAAGTAAAGAAGCAGGCTGTTTCCCTTCCTTGCCTCCCCAGCCCGCCCTGCCCTCCTCAGAACTGCTGAGTACACACGCCCTTTGAGCCAACCTCTGCCTTGTGACTAACTGGGACAGAGTATCAGCCCCACGTTTAGTAATACGACTCAATAAGTGTCCCAATCCCAGAAGTTATGAAACTTCCTGATGCTGCAGCACCATCTTCTTGGACGCTGTGATTCCTCCCCCAGTGGCCTGGCGGGGAGACACCCCAAGGCTAGTCAGACTCCAGCTTGTGCTGTCCAAGAGCCCCAGCTGATGAAATGGTCAGGGGGTAGGGATGGGAGAGGGCAGGGAGATAGGTCAGGGAGAGAGAGAGATGGGACATTCCTTGACTCCCAGGTCAGCTCTTTGGAAGGGCTCCTTGGACAGACAGTAATATACTCAAGTACTGGAAAGATTTCTGGGAACAACCTCAGAAAGAAATTCTTTACACACGCTCTTACCTCCCAGCCCACAAAGTGAACAGCCTGCCCTAAATGAAGGCATCTGAGCGTATGTATACAAGTGGTTTCACGCCTGAACTAGTTCAACTTTTCTCCCCTGATGATGGATAATTACAGTGCCTGCTCTGTCTTTTGGCACACATTCCTATTTCTCTCTTCTTTTTATTTGGAAGAAGGGTGCATGGAGGGATCACTCATCCTCTTGTCGAGACCAAGGTCACAAACGGAAAAGAGGGACCCAGCAGGCATTTAAATGGCCAACACAAGCTTTGGGGGATTATGATAAACTGCTGAGCACCTGCCTTGCCTAAAGGAGGCAGCTGTAACTCAGTTCCCTCTGAATGTGGATCAGTGTTAGAGCTCCTGACTTTTCCAGAGAACCCCTGGATCCAAATTCTATGTGAAATTTTTTAATTTAAATATTGGAAACTAATTCAATGATTTGAAAATTCTCTGAGTCTCAAAGAAGCAGGTCTGTAGGTTGGAATCTAACTGGCAGGATGCGTATTGGTCTTCTCCAGTCTAGACTGAAGGCCTCTTAGGAAGTGATGGAGCTGATACTAGAACTCAGGTCGCCCAAGTTTCTGCCCTGTGCTTGTCCTACCTGCACCCTACAAACACATGATTACTGCCTTTCCATCCCTCCTCCTGTTGACCCCAGGCTTATTTTCTCCTCTCACTCTTCCCTGCTGAAGGTCCAAAGCTATTGTGGGAGTTTTAATAATTTTTATTTATATATTTTTGGCTGTGCTGGGTCTTCATTCCTGTGTGGGCTTTTCTCTTGCGGTTGCAGAGGGCGGGGGGCATGCGNGAGTTTTGGGGCTTCAGTAGTTACAACACCTGGGTTCAGTAGTTGTGGCACATGGGCTCAGTTGCTCTGTGGCATGTGGGGTCTTCCCTGAATCAAGGATCGAAACCATGTCTCCTGTGCTGGCAGGCAGATTCTTCACCACTGAGCCACCAGGGAAACCCTGTGGGAATTTTAAAAATGGAATTCTAGGCAATTGTACATAAAGTTGTTGTAAGCATTAAAAAAAAAAAATCAAAAGATGCCCATCCCTGTCCTAAAACTCACCAGAGGGAAGGGAACTGAAGAACTGTAGGAAGAATGATGCACTACCAAGGACAACACAATCCAGGCTTGGAAATTGGTTCTACTCTTTGCTAGCAGTATCACCTCAGGCAGTTTTTCTTTGGGTGTTTCCTCACCTGCAAAACAGGCACGGTAGCTGCCTCTACAGGAGCATTGGGAAGATTAAATGAGATAAGATGTGCAAAGCACAGTGTGTGCCATGCACTTGAGGCTTCATACATAGAAGTTATTGCTTTGATCAATGCTTTTTTATTAAGGGAGTGACTGGCTTCAATTTACCCATATTGTATACCCCATCTTCCTTAGCTCTCTCCCCTATTTCCTGCTTCCTATACCCTCAGCCCTTTTCTCAGGAAAGAGTGGGTGGTGAGAAAGGAGTGTATCAGACAGGAAATGAGAACTGAAGATGCTGATTTTGTTGTTACTTGGGCTGAAAGTAACAGGCAGAAACAGAGAAAGGGGGAGAAAACAAACTTTCCCGCTTTTATTTCAGGTCCTGCTGGTGAATCTTTGTGAAGGAACCTTCCTAATGTCAGTAAGTGTCTGGGTTCAGATCCTTTGCAGACCCACAACCAACTCAATTACTCTTGGCTCATCAAAGTTCCACTACTTTGAAAAACTTGAAGTATGCTAACAAGACTTCATCTCTCTCAAGGAGAGTATGACTTCATGAGGCAGTCAGTGTTAGTGCTTTTAGAGTAAGGACATAGTCCGAGTACCAGAGGGACAGAGATTTCCTAGTGTTTGGAGTTGAAGCTTCTTTTGTTTCTCTTGTATGTGGCCAATTATTTGGGGGTGGAATGGGGTATAGAATTCATGCCTCACATTCTCGTTCAACACTTCACACCTGCTCCCTGACTGCTTGACCTCTGAGCTGACTCTGTCCTCTCCTAGGTTGGTGATGAAAAAAACATCCTACCACCCAAGCTTCAGGATGACATCTTAGAATCTCTTGGTCAGGGCATCAAGGAGTCACGGAGTAAGTCCCAGGTCCCTCTTATTCTGGCTTTCTCCAAAGTTTAAGGGCATGATTCCCAAAAATTCCCTTCTAGAACTAAAAGAAATTCACTCCACAGTCCTGGGCTAGTCCCAGAGGCCTTGATTCTATAGGGCAAGTATGAGATTTTATTCTTCCTAAGCAATGGTGACCCCATCTCCAGTCTCACATTTTCACCAACCAGTAATTATGAACTGTGCCTCACCCCACCCCTTGCCCAAGAGCTTTCAGCCTGTGATGAAAGCCACTTAGAGGTAAGTTTTCATCCTTCTGCTGCCCCTGAGATGGCCTCTTTATATCCCCTGCAGCTTCTGAGCAAATCAATGAGCACGTTTCAAGGCCTTTTGTGCAGTTCTTTGTCAAGACTGTGGGCCACTATGCTTCCTACATCAAGCGGGAAGCGAATGGGCAAGGCCGCTTCCAAGAACGGGCCTTCTATAAGGCTCTGACCTCCAAGGCCAACCGCCGGTTTGTGAAGAAATTTGTGAAGACCCAGCTCTTCTCCCTTTTCATCCAGGAAGCCGAAAAGAGCAAGAACCCTCCTGCAGGTACGCAGTGAGAGCTCCCTATCAGCCCAAGTGCAGATGGTCACTGCCTCCAAGTCAGGTGTGGCCCTAGGAGGGGAGGGAAGAGCACTTCTAAGAGAGGTTCATAACACAGCTGTGATCTTATCAAACCCGGTTGGAAAGAAAGATCCTGAAGCCCAAGAAAATGCCTCCGAGGCTGATGTTTTGTAGACGTTGCTGTTCATCAGTCAGTAGGAGGACCTTTGCTTTCTGTTTTAGTCTAGAGCTAATTCCTACTAATTATTCTGTTTTAGGCCCCCATAGGAGCCTAATCGAATACCTAGATCTACAAAGGCCTAGGATGACATGGGGACCCTGGGGGGAATGTGGCTATAGTGGGGGAGTATGGGCCGCAGACACTGAGAGTGGGAGCGTGGGCCGCAGACACTGAGAGTATCTCTGACCCTTGTTCTTGAGCTCATCTTAGCCTGCCTGGCCAGATTAGCTGCCTCTAACAGGTGTATCTCTAACACCACAGATTATTTCCAAAAGAAAATACTTGAATATGAGGAACAGAAGAAACAGAAGAGACCAAAGGAAAAGACTGTGAAGTAAGAGCCGTGTTGAACAGGAGTGACTAGACCTATAGGCCAGTAGTGGACTTTGACCCCTGCCAGCACGGTAGGATGTGAAGCTCTCAGTCAATAGAATCCACAGCCTTCTTCCGAGTCCTGGTAACCAGGTCTTGCCTCAAGTTGGTGTCTGGAGTTTGGGATTCCTGAAATCAGCTTTCTCGAGACTTTGGAAGGCTCTGACCTCTGTGCCCACAGAGCTGGGCACATAGCTGCCTTTTCTGCAGAGGTGACACAGGGCAAGAGACAGTAGTAGAGGTGGTGTAGAGCCCCAGAAGTTTCTGGAACTGCCTTCTCCCAGGAAGCACTATTACAAAATCCTCCACAGAGAAACAAGCTGTCACCCAAATGCTCAGTTTCTTCACACATAAACAGAGGTCTGTGGACATGTGAGGATAAGAATAAAGATGAAAATCTTCTTGCTCTTTATACGTGTATCTCTGGCTTCCACTATGGAGAGATAACCAATAAAACAAGGCAAGAGATGTGAGAATAAACTGGACTAGATGTGGAGGATCTGGCAACAGTGCCCAGAACTCTGGTGCTATGTCTGAAGCAGCAGAATAATGGGCATCAGGAGAGCCTTCTACTAGGAAAGGTGAGGGATACTGGTAAAAGCAGCAGCAGTAGAGGATACAGCAGCGGTTGTTGGTCCAAGTTAGGTGTGCTTTCCAGAATCCTGGGACGAAAGGCTGCTGGCCTTTCATGAAATATTTGAAGTTGAGAGTAACTTGACAGTAGGAATCTCAGCTGAAGAAGCCAGTGAAGAACACTACATTGTTTCCATCAATAGGTCTGTCTGCCCATCACTTCCAGTTTGGAACTTTCCGTTTTAGACATCCTACTTCCAACTTCATTATTGTGAGAAGCCAGTTCAACTCTTTGGCTAAGGGCAGAGGGATCTCCTCATTGACATTTTTTCTCTCGGAAGAAAAGAGAATCATCATCTTAAAAGTCCAAAGTTTAGTAGTCACTTGGTCCCTCTTTCCTCTGAATCTCTACTGACAGCTTCTGTTTAAATACTGTAAGGGATGGGAAACTTTTAGGAAGCATCCTGTTTTTCAAAAATTCCATCTTTTTAATGTGTGTATGTGCATGTGGCCCTCAGAGGCCCCTGGATTCTGTACAGAGAACACAAATGTTGTTGCAGGATGGAATAGGAGACTGGGGCTACTGAACTGAAGTCAATATAATTTCATTTCAGGGGCACAGACACCTCCTGCAGGTGGCACATGTCCTACTGTGTACATACCACCCCAAACTAGGCTGCTAGTCTTCACAGCTTCCAAGAGTCAGTGCACTTTTTTAGGTAGTTCCTAATCCTAGTTGTACCTCAGGACTGGAATCCTGGGGAGCTTATGAAAATATGAGGCTCCATCTTTAACCTTCCAAATCATCATGAAAGATAGGACATGGGAACCCATATTTTTAAAATTTCTTCAGCTGATTCTGACACCTAAACAGGTATATAATATGCTCACAAGAATCAGGACCAACTGAGGTTTACTATAAACATAACTTGATCTCATGTTGATGGTTATCTAGAGCTGAAGAAAGCACACACCAAATACCTAGATGTCTTCCAGATTTCCATTATGCTGAAAAAGATTCTAGCACCTCAGTCTGTAGCTTCAACTCACTAAAACCTAGTATAGTGTAGAAGATAATGCTGGACCAGGATTCAGAAGATATGGATTCTAGTCTCCATTTGGAAAAGGAACAACTGTTGTGACACTGGTATACCATTTAGCTTCTCCAAACCTCAGTTTCCACTGTAGGCAATTAACATCTGCTGTGTCTATCTCATAAGACGATGATGTAAATCTGCCAAAGTTAATTATCCTTCCTTCTTTTTTCCTTTGTCCTACCTTGTGACATTTGATCTGCCCTAGCATTTTCTTGTATGAACTTCTCTACCCCAGATGCTGGAGAAGTTGCTAGCAAGCAAAGATAGTGAAAACTTCCTTTTCCAGCTACATTCTAGCAAAGAAATGAAAGGTTTCACTACCACTGCTAATCAAGATTACACGGAATTGATGGAATCACTAGAAGTGCAAGGAAGAGTTCTGGTTGCCAGGCAAAGCAGCGCAGCTATTGTGTATCCATGATTATGGAAACAGGGTATAAATAATAATCAATAAGATACCTCATTTTAGTCAATAGTTTAAACCTTTGCTGTTTGCCTCTTCATTCAAGCAATTGAACTATACACAAAAGAAACAGATCTGGTTTATGGTTATAGAGGACACCTGTTTTTTGTTTCAAACTTGTAGCCAGAGAAGGAGAGTGCAAATATTTAATAATTTCCAAGAGAGGCACAAGCCTCTCTTATTTTATACCTGGGGGAAGGGCTTGAGATTCTGAGAGCTACTAACCAGTCAATCCTAAAGGAAACCTGAATTTTCACTGGAAGGACTGATGCTGAAGCTCTAATAGCTTGGCCATATGATGTGAAGAGCTGACTCATTGGAAAAGACCCTGATGCTGGGAAAGACTGAAGGCAGGAGGAGAAGGGGATGACACTGAGATGGTTGGATGGTATCACCAACTCAATGGACGTGAATTTGAGCAAACTTCAGGAGACAGTGAAGGACAGGAAAGCCTGGTGTGCTGCAGTCCATGGGGTCACAGAGTCAGACACGACTTAGCAGCTGAGGAACAACAAAAACCTACTAAACTCCTTTGGGCTTTTAAGATTATGGTTCTCTTTTTACAAAGGGAAAAAAAGACTTATAATCTTAAGGGTGACAACTATAACAACAGCAGAAAACCTACCAAGAGGGAAAATGAACATAGCACTCCCATGTTTTAAGTTAAACAGTTTTATACAAAATAGAAAGGTCACAGGACACATGTTGACAAGGTAGCTGACTTAATTTCCTTATTTACTAAAGAACAAAAATAAAATTTGCTTTAAAATTTAAAAAGCAACATTAAAACTTAGTTTATGTTTCCACTGAATAAAACTGAGAAAAAAAGACTGGCTTTCAGATCATATGTTTATTTAAAAAAATAAAATGGATCGACAAAGTTACCACATTATTATGCATGCTAACAGGATTTCCCAAGCCCATGAGATACCGTATCTTGAGCAATAAAAAAATGACTTCCTCAACAATGTAAAGATAGGAAACTTTTCAATCCAAATTCAAAATCTTTATCAAGGTCCACCTCATAAGCTAGTAGGATATATCTGTGCCACAAGCTGAGCTCCTTAGTAAAGAAAGCTTGAGAAGATACTAAACAAGGATGTCACTAAGAAGATGATGATTTGTTAAAATTATAAAGCAACCAATTTTGGCCTGCAAATATTCTACATTAGAAGTCACCACTGGGGATCTGCTCCCCATGATGACTTTACTCTGAATCCAGGATAACTACAAACACATGGCATTTTTTTCTTGCATGCTTTCTTGGGCCAACCCTGCATGACAACACGTACATTGACAGGATGGAACTTGAAATTCCCATTCTCACACGGGGATAGTTAAGGAGTGTTATCAATAACAAAGGATAAAAGTTATACAACATTGATTATTATAAATTATTCTTGTTCTTAACCGCCCCATTCTCCTTAATATGTTTGGATTCTTTCCTGCAGAAAACATGAGCTTCCTATGTAACATCAGTTACATCATTAATGATGATTAGAATGAGCTGTAGAGACCTTGATTCTGAAGACATGTATATGCAGGTGAGATGCAATCTGATTGCAAACACTGACACAGTAGCGAATCAAATCAAAGAAAGAGAAGACCTGGAAAATACAAAAAAAAAAAAAAAAAAAGAGAGATTATTAGATTCTCAGCACCTGCTCAGGCCATCCCTAAAGCCGGAGAGGCTTCTGACTTTCTTCTCTTCTCCTGAAATTCATCTTCAATTCCATGCAATTTAATAACTCAATTTCCCCACAGATCTCCTTTATACCAAGGAGCAACAAACTTAGTGAATATTTTATGCTTTGTGGACCATACTTTGTCACACTGTTCAACTCTGCCTCTGAAGCATAAAAGCAACCACACACAAGATATAAATGACAGGTTTTAACTATGTTTCAAGAAAACTTTATTTACAAAACATGGTCACTGGCCCACATAGTATAGTCTGCCAGCTACTACTGTCTTATAATCGGAAATATGGAATTTATGAGCCAGGATGTAGGCAGGACTAATAAGAATACACAAGAATGACTAAAGACGAAGTCACAAGGAACTCTCATGAAGTCCCACAAATGTTTTCTGGTATTCTAAACCATTATAATTTTAAAAAAAAATTTTGGCCACACCCCATCGCATGTGGGATCTTAGTTCCCTGATCAGGGATAGAACCCAAGCTCCTCATTTTGGAAGGTGGAGTTTTAACCACTGGATGGCTAAATCATTATATGATCTATCTCTCAGGACTGGCCCACTGAAACAAGAAAACAAGCAGCCTCCAAATCATGAAATAGAACACAGTACCAAACTTACCAGGGCTATCCAAAGTACAATATATTCATCAATAAAGCTGTTAAAATACTGGTCCAGAAACAAAAGTGCTGGACCTATGAATGCTGTGTCATGCAAATGCATCTCACTTTTAGTCATGTGTGCCACCTGTGAATAAAAGAGAATCAGTGATGTAGGTAGCCATTTTCATTTTACAGCAATTGTGAGCTACATAGTAAATCAGCATTGTGATCAAATATCATCTTTGATATTTTAGCAGTATCTGCTGAATGTTCAAAACTAAGATGACAACAAGAGTGGGTTTGAGAGCTATAACACTGAAAGTATGTACCATGACAACTAAATCACCCCCAAAAGAGCTCTTCACAAGGAGCCATAAGTGTACAGAATGACAATGAAGAATAGAGACAAACTAAATAATCAAATTAAACTGGACAGAAGAGTTGCAGAGGTTTTAGGAGCTTCTGTTAATCTCAAATTGTAGCTTCATGTTAGAGTAAAAACAGCTCCTATGTTGATGTCAAGAGATTTTGACTGGAGGAGAGCAAACTCTAGAATTGCTTAAGAAACTGTGAAATAAAAACTCTGGCCATAAAACCAAAATAAGAAGAAAGTTAAAAACAAAACTGGTGCTTACCACAAGCTTATTGGTGATTTTGGCAGATACAAAACCAAATGTCAATATATAAAGACAGGGATGCTTTTCGAAAAGCTGAACTGCTGATTTCTTGTAGATCATTGCAGCTAATGTAATTACTGATCCAATATGGAGGAAAGGAGAAAGGACACTTGTTCCCTGTTTAGAGTAAAGAGAAGTGAGGAATTAGTGGTTTTCTATACTGATCAGATACTGTATGGGTCTGCTTGATGTAAGACAGAGCAACTCAAACTTCTAAGAACCTCATGGTGTCTTGACAGCCAGCAATTTTTATAATTGAACACCAGAACAGCTAGGGAAAAGTAGCAGTGTGGACTGGTAAGGCACAAACTGATTTTACTTAAAGAGGCCAGATGTATTTTACAAAGTAGACTGCACTCTTTAAAAAAGATACATGTTTTTAAAAGTGTGTGTGTGAGTATATGTGCATGCACAAAAATATGCAAATATGAGCATAACGCTAAGTGCAAATTCTCAATTAACAAGTGATTTTTAATTAATTCAAATAACAATTCAAATAAAAAACAAAGCAATTACAAAACTAAGTCTAAGCACAGAGATTACAAAACTCAAGTTTGAGCACAGACAATAACCAGTAATCTTAAGAAATACTTACTGCTATCGTTGATCCATTTTTTCCAACACCACCTGTGAAGATTACACGGAAGTAATTTGTACAGGAAAATATGGTCCCTGCTACAGTACAAAGCGCAGGAAAAATTTTCATTTGAATATTCAGCACTGGAATCTTCAATAGGTAGAGAGAGAGAGCAATTAATATATATATATATACACATATGCAGATTAAAATAACAAAACACATATTTGATTCATATTCTGATATATTCTCCATTCCTTCTATAGTCTGTAAATACTCAAACTGATGGAAGTTTCCCTAGCCTTTCCATTATAAACAACATAACAAGTCTCAACAGATGAGAGACTACATAAAAATTAATCTTACTCCTGATACAACCTAAGGAAAAAAAATAGATTCAACTTTATTAGTCTGTGTCATAGCTAAGTTCACCTAACACATCCCGGAAGTCTGGCAACACTGAATCAGGTTATCTTCTAGCCTTTTTATAAAAGAAGTGAGCTTTGCCTTTTTCTTTGTGCATTTTTTGAACTCTACTGGTAAATTTTAACTAGTTATTAGTTGTTATGAGAAAAGCACAGAGCATAAAGGACTGTGCAGCAAGATTAAAATAAATCTCCAAACTTGAGAATGGAAGACGAAAGAAAGTTCTACTGAAAAGAGGTCCCAATTCCAAACTGTTGGGATATAAGCTGCTAGCAAAAGCAGAGAGCAACTAAGAAAGCATTCATATTCAAGCAGCTTCTGATAATCTCAAATTGTAGCTTCACATAAAAGTAAAAACAACTCCCATATTGATGTCAAGAGGTTCTCATTGGAGGACAGAAAACTCAGGGACAGGAGGAAAAATATATGACACATACCCAAGCAGGTACGGCTCTATAACTGTGTATCCAAAATTTTAACATACAAGTTTACTTTCCAGAAGAAGTAAGTTGTACATTTTTGTAGTGTACTGAAAATATGAATCGATTTACCTAAAGTAAGGTGGGTGGGGGGGATACTGAGGAGATTGAGATCATGTATCTAACCTTGCAAATACAATACCCTCATTTAAAACAAAACACACTTGTACTAAATCTTAAAAATCATTTAAGATTTCCTTTTTCCACTTCTCTTTTTAGCTTTTCTGACTTCTCCAGTTTTGTCTAGTATGGAAGGAAAAGAAAGCAACAGTAAAATGATACATTCTATTAAGAGAAACAAAATGGCTCTAGAAGATCCCCAAAGCACTGGTTTTCCAACAGCAACCATTCCAAAACAATGGTTTAATAGGCACTGAGTTCTTACAATGAAGACATTTTAATCAGGGCTGTTTATACTTTTCAGGGCTGCCATCTGCCTATATTTTAAAAATCAAATAAAGAAATGTGACATTGCCCATTCTTTTTGTGTATAAAACCCCATGAAGATTGATAGATACAAAATTAAACATTTAG